AGCAACTTGCTGGCCTGGCTTTGTCTCTCAGCCGGTCTTCATTTCAGCTCTGCAGGAGGGCACCAAGATTCCAGTTAGGCATTTAAATATATTAAGCAACACAAAACCAACCTCTACCAGCAGCAGCAGTAGCATCAAAGGACTGCTCCAAATGGCCACTTTCAGCATGGAGGCAGGAAAATGTTCGCAGAGTTCAGACGGGGTTACCTAAGTCAACATTTCATTCCATGTTGACAAAGGTGCTGTGAATTTCCCAACTGTCACTGGGACACAAGGAATTGGTGATGTGGTCTGGACAAGGGAGCTTTCCTACGCGCCTCTGCTTGCCCCTCGCCAGATAAACAACATGCCGCAGTAGCAGGAGAGCGGCCTTCCTCATTTTAATGTTTTGTGAGCCGCCCCAAGGCTTCGGCGAATGGGGCGGCATAGAAATTTTCTAAATAAATAAAAAATAATATCTCGCTGCTGCTATAGGCCACTTGATGGAAAGGAGCCTCTTTCACTTGTTCTCCTGCTGCTAACCCTGCTTCTGTGAAGCAGCAGATAACCAGCAGGGCTGTCCAGTTTGAGCAGCCCTGCTGAGACAAAGTTGAAGGGGGCTGAAAGGGCCAGCAGCTCCCGTGGCGTTATCCCCAGATCAGGAATGAGCATCCCAAGAGCTCCCCGGTTCAGGTTAACTGTTGCCTTGTGTTGATAAGCTGCCTTGAGGCTGAGCCATGTCTTTCTGCCTGAGGGGTCCATGTCGGATTCTGCAGCAGCGGGAATGCGTGGGGCCTGTCCATTAGCAAAGCACGGCTCAAGACTCTGGCGGAGGTTGATGGTGGCCTGTCGTCATGATTCAGAGAGGTTTGCGTTAGAATCCCCAGCGTGCAGGAAGTCAAAACCCTCACGCACAAGCAGGGAAGGCTGCTGCTGCTGCGCACATTGCTTTTCCTCCCACTCGCTGCTGCCCTCGTTTGTGATCCTGCCCTTTCAGTGCTTGGCTTTGTTGCTGCCTGAATCTTATACCCTCCGAGAGTGGCCACTGCCTGTCCCTACATACCTGTGGCCCGGTTGCATATTTAGAGCTCGTGGCAGAAGGGAATAATTCCAAAATGCTGAGGATCACTGTGGAGGCAGGACCTGGTGTTTCTGTATTCAAAGGGGTGTGGAATGGGCTTCCACGGTAGGTGGTTGAAGCCCCAGTGGTGACGGTGTTTAAGGATAGGCTGGACATGCACATGGTAGGCATGTCATGACTGGAGCCAGCTGGAGCCGGGGGTCAGACTAGATGGCTCAGGAGGCCCCTTCTGACTCGCTCAGTTTCTATATTTCTAAATATGCTCAAGCCGTCTGTTCCTGAAAGTGTAGGAGTCCTCCAGGCTGCTCCTCTCAGAGAGGATATAAGCATGTGGAGGCTGGCCCATGCCTCTGCACCGTGACAGAGGCAGCTCTGGGGACCAGCTAGCAGTGCTGGCAAACCTCCATCAAATTGTCAGAAGGCTTTGCTGGAGAAAGGCTTTTGAAATAAAGCCCTGCTCAGCTTATCTGAATTACTGAGGTACTGAAGTGAGAGACAAATGCCCTGTTTCAGTGCTAATGAAGTTTTGGGTAAATAAATAAAGTGATCACATGGCACAATGCGTTGACTCACTGCAGAGTTGGGGAAGCCCGCAGGCTTTTTCTGCAGGGCTGAAAACAAGCAATCCCCCCCCCCCCCCCCCTCCTTGGTGTATCGAAGGCAGCAGGGCTCAGCCAAAGTGTTTTGCTGCCTGGGGCAGACAAGAGGACCCCTCCCTCCCCTTCTGTGTGCTGCTGGCAGCTGAATCTTCCTTCAGCAGTGGTGATGTGGCAGCTCCTCCTCCATGCCTGGCTGCAGCCGTCTAGCTTGGCTCCTCCCGGCACAGAGAAGACAACCCAGGCCACTTCTGATTGGAGAGAGCAGCAAGATGCGGGGCTTCTGGGCCTCAGGACTCACACACACATGGGGTACAGAGCTGCTCCTCTGCCTGGTATGGGCCAGCCAAGCACTCACTGGCCCTTCCCCTTGCTGTCTCAGATCAGAGGAGCTGCAGGAGTGAAAGGCAGCCTGACCCAGAGATCAGAGATGACTGCAGGCATTCTGCTGCTGGTGTGCTCCTTGAAGGGATCCCTCCAGGCAGTGGGGTTTGGACCCAAGAACTGTGCAAGCCAGATTGGGCTGGAGCTTCTTCACCCCTGGTTTTGTGGGTACCGGTCAGGCTTGTGTCCCCCATTCCCAGTTGGGGTGCTGCTTCACCTGGCCCTTCAGACGTCCGTTCAGAAGGCAGCGGCAGTCAAGAGAGTCCGCTATCAGCTTCAGCGAACTGCATCCCTTCCTGGAGGAAAATGACCTGCAATCAGCAGTGCACATGCTGGCACCTCAGAGGCTTGCTTTCAGCAGTGCCCTCTGCAGAGGGCTACATGGGTGCCTACTCCAGGAACTTCAACTAGTACAAGATACGGCAGCCAGACTAGTCTCTGCGACATCACGGAGAGACCACGTATCAGCAAGTTTTTCCATTGGCTGCCAATAGATTTTTGGATACAACACAAAGCTTTGGTAATTACCTTCATGGCTAAGGGGTGCCTTTGCCCATATACTCTGCCCTGCTTACTATGGTCCCCCGGGGATAATCTTCCAAAGTTTGCTTGTGCAGGATTAATGCCAACTACCCAGAGGATCTTTTCCCGTGGTCTCCCCTGAACTATGGAAAGGCCTGCTGGGAGAGACGCATCAGTTACCCCAGATTGCTCCTGATTCCCCATCACTGCTTTCCCCCACCGCATCTGCCCTACATAGCATCCCTCTTCTTTAGATGAGCTGCCCAATGCGCTACGTTTCTATAACGGCCCTTCCATTCTGGTTAACGCCTGCAGTTGGGCTCCTTGTGAGGGCTGCACTGACATCACTTGGACACACGGACAGTGTGCTTCAAACACAGCGGCAGATGATTTTCAGGGCAACATAAAAAATGCATATGCCACTGCACACGTAGAGCGCCACTCAGGACAGATCATGACTAATAAGTAAAGAATGGAGGTGACACTTTCACTTAGTACATGTCATGTTAGATTTAGAAAATGCAAACATTTCAGGAGTGTTGGACAAAATTACATTGAAAATTACATTGAAGTTTGTCATCTCGTCTCTCTGCATCTAGCTTCTGCTTTTCCCCCCTACCAAAATTCAACATTATGTAGCTCTCATAGCTTTGAGCAGACCAAGAAAACCCCTTTGTCACCTTCTCTCCTTGTAAAGAAAGTTGTATTATTGTCCCCTTAGACATCAGTTTGGAATGTACATTTATATTTTCTGTTCACTAGTGCAGGTTTCCCCCAAGCTGAAGCCCTTCAGTTACCAAGGACTGCAATCCCCATTACCTCCAGCCTAGACCAATGAGAGTTGTTGTTTTACTCATCTGCAGGGCAAAGATTGGGACGGGCTGCTTGGACGTTCCTGCTCTTCAAAAGTTCAGCTGCTCTAAGTGTGTACTTCTTGACTTTTATTGGTGCCAATGTCCAAAGTGGGCATTACATATTTGCAGGGCTGCCATCCTAAAATAATAAACATTCAGAACAATACCAATGGGGGCATAGAGACAGAGAAGGGAAGAAACAGGGCAAGTGTGTTTGTGTTTTAATTGCATCTTTTAGTGTTGACCTATATGTTCAATGAGCCTCTGATTGTTCATATTGGCTGCCAGCTTGCCAGCTTCTGCTACAATAATTCTCAAAGCAGAAGGTTCCAGAAGTGGCATGAAGAAGTGCTAGTAGATCTTGGTGTACGCTTACTGCAGTGTCGACCCAGCAAGCCAAACTGTTCACTGACGTTCTCCCAAATGCTGAGAGGCTCAGGGTGAAAGACTTTGCACCTCTTCTAGCACTGCCCTCTTTGAGAATCATGGTGGTCCAGGAAGCTGCCGCAACCACTCAATTGAATGCCTTGGTATTGCCTGGGCTCCCCAGGAACCACGGCTGGGCCACACGCTCGAGCTTCTGAAAGGGTCACTCATGGCTGGTGCACTGGCTCAGCATCTGGCATCTGTCTGGATCACAAGTCACCATTTCCTATAGGGTGCCATATAGAATCAGTGCCAGATCTGGGTTTTTGAGAGTCCCTGGGCAAGGAGCCCCTCTTCCAGCAAGTCTCCTCCTCTTCTGCATGTTCTCTGTTTGCTTGGAAATCAGAGACCCCATGAGCAAGGGGGCAGTGGTATCTCCCGTGTCTTTGTTGGACAAGAAGCAGGTGAAGAAGCAGGGGGCAATGGTGGAGGAGCAATTCCAGAGACCACTTTCCATGGGTCTTGCTTGGTGTGCAGGCTTACTTCACCATTCTAGAATACATCATTTTGAACCAGAGTATTCCACCTCACTTTTGCCCTCTCGTCATGTCCATGCTGGAAACATTGGCCCAACACATCTGGAGGGCACGACCAGGTTGGGAATGACCAGTCTAAATGCTATGGCTAAAGTCATTATTTTTTCCCAGGAATGTCAGGGGCAAGTGTAACATCCTGAATTTCTCTCCCTCCTTTTTTTCCGTTTAGGAACATGTGTTTTACCCCCTTTCCCTATAAAACTCATGTTAAGAACATTTTTTTGAACCACGAATTACTTGCATTCAGTTTGGAGCTTGTGCAAAACATTAGTGAGTCATGGCCTGCCTTACAATAACGGGCTTTTCCCACCTTTTTGGAAGCGCCTCGTTCATCTTTGCTTGTGGATAGGAGGGTATCTTCTCTTGTGGCTACCCTGTTAACGCTTGGTTAGATCTAGAAGGAGAGGTGTTAGAACGGAATCCTTTCCTCCCTAGTCCTTTGCCATATCTGGAAAGCAGAGAGGGAACCGAGAAGAAACTGGCAGGTTCATTTTCGTGCCTGGCATCTCCAGACCTTATCAGGACTAATTGGACTTGACAGCTGGGAGTCGAGGGTGCAATCCATGTTGAAAGCTGAACGCTGTGGCTGAGGCAAACAAATCAGGGCTGGTTAATAATTAAGCGACAGTTTGGCAGCATTCACCTTGACAGACTTGACCTGTCAAATTAAAAACTTTCTGGCTTTTTTCTCCTTTTGCTCCCAGGCACTACCTGCTGTTGGGACACAAGTGAGCTGCCCGCCACTTAAAGCCCGTGGGCCTCTGTGCCTTTGCACTAGCCGACAGCTGTGCTCCCTCCCTCCAGAAAGCCATCTTTGTGTCTTCCTCCTCATCTGGAAGCAGTGCCTGAAAATCCATTTTCAGGGTGCTGCTAATTGACCACAGTTGTTTTCCTCTTGCCTCTGCTCTGAACCCAACACACAGTGTATTCTTTGTAAAGCCCTCAAGTGTCAATCACTGGGAAATAATGCCATAAATTCAATAGGATCAGCATTGCCATCGTTGTGGCCCCGATCATTTATTTGCACAGTTCAGTCTGCAGTAGAAGAGAGCTCTAGTTTTGCTGATTCAGGAGTGGGTTAGAGCAGGAGTCAGTTTGGAAGGAAGCCTTTGCCCTGCACGGCTCCCAAAGGTACCCTTGAATGTTTCAGGGTCTCCTGCTTTGTGATTGTCTCAAAGAGGGAATAACACCATGGACAACTGTTTGGGCAAAAAGAAGATTCAAATAGAACCCTTTAACTCCCTCTCCCCTGCTAGACTTCAGTGGGGCTAGCAAGCTACTGCTGCAGCCTGCCCCATGGGCACGCTGGCTTGCACGGAGTTTTGGCGACCAGAACAAGTGAGAGCAGTGGCCTGGCACACACATTGCACTTCAGGCCTCTGGGCAAAATCTGGAAGGCCTGAGCTCAAAATCCAGGCCATCCTGAGCTCCCCAGTGGCCGCACCTCCTTGCTCTTGCCCCACTCTTTTGCCCCAGTCATTTCGGCATTTCTTGGGCCTTGGCGCATTTCCCCCCGTTCTGAAATGCTGAAATGCCTCTGCTAGGCACTGGCAGTAAGAACATTAAGCTAAAATGAGCTGGGTGTGTTTCTGACCGGACCCTCTTGCCTTCTACCACCCCTGAAATGCGGCCCTCCAAAGTTTCTCGGAAATTGATTTTGGCCCTCAGGCTGAAAGCGATGCAGTGGTACAAGCAACAGCTGATGGAGTCCTGATGAGTCGTGTAACTGCTTGCACAGTGACTTGTGGGATGGCTTGTCAACAGTGCATGCAAGCAGAATCCAAGTATTGTGCTACCTTTGCAAAGTTAATAACCTTCGTCGTCTGGCAGGGCTTTAGAGTTAAAGCAAAGTTTCATGATATATCGTCTGTACAAGGGCGTTTAGCCTCTGAATAATTTCTGGAGGAGAATATGCTCACAAAGCAGTCTGAAGTCTTCATAACTCTAGAGAAATGCTCATAAATCATATCCATACAGTCTGCCTTTCTTCAGTTTTCTTTTTATTTCCGTTCTGAAGGTGCAAGCAGGAAAGGTGAAAGGGGGAATGTTCAGTGGGGCAGGAGGGGGCAGACACACTAATGACCATAGCTCCTAACTCTATTCTTCTGCCAAGTGTCACGGTAGGTCATGTTGCATGTGACACAGACACGTTGGTTGCACCTAGAATGCCCTCCGGAAAGAACTCCACCTCACTTCATTACGGCTCACCTTCTGACAGATAGCCGAAGCTTTGAAAAAGCTACTTCCACCTTGTTTTAATCTTGCCTCTTAATGGACAAGGGCAGCTTCTAACTGCCGTTGGCCTTATGAGCCTTCCTAGTGAAGGTTATCTATTTTTAGGAAAGGTTAACTTTAATGGTGCACTTCTATCATTTTTATTTTTATGGGGCCATTGTTTAGTGGTCTTGAATATTTCTGATAGAAAGGCATGGTCTCAGTTCTAATAACGATGGCTGATTCCACATGTTGATGGCTACATATAGTGCAGTTCTGCACATATTGACTTGATAGCAAGACTTCCTGTGTTCGTTTTCCTGGCATGTTGACATAGAAACAGAGCAAGTCAGAAGGGGTCTCCCAGGCCATCTAGTCTGACCCCCGGCTCCGGCTGGCTCCGCTCATGACATGCCCACAATGTACACATCCAGCGTATCTTTGAATACCCTCACCGATGGGGCCTCAACGACCTTTTGTGAAAGCCCATTCCATACCCTCAGGGTCCTAACTGTCAGGAAGTGCTTCCTGGCATCTAAATGGAGCCTTGGTTCCCTGAGCTTTGCTCCGTTGGAGCACGTCCTGCCTTCCTCTGCAGGGGAGAACAGGTCTCTACCCATCTCCGCGTGACATCCCCTCACATACCTGTATGCCGCCAACAGATCCCCTCTGAGTCTCCTCCAGGCTGAAGAGACCCAGTTCCTTCAGTTTCGCCTCATATGGCATCCCCTGCAAACTGGCCACCAACCTTGTGGCCCTACGCTGCACTGACTCTAACCTGGCTATATCCTTCCTGTAATGAGGGGCCCAAAACTGAGCACAGTACTCCAGTTGCGGGCACACCAGAGTCGTATAGAGTGGTAGTAATACCTCTCTCGATCTAGAAGCCACACTTCTGGCTATGCAACCAAGGGAGCCGTTAGCCCTCTTAACCACCGCATCACACTGCTGACTTATGTTTAGCCTGCAGTCAACCAACACCCTGAGGTCCCTTTCACAAGTGCTGGACAGTCCATGCAATGGCCGCTCTTACCCGATCCAAATTTGCAATTCTGTCACCAAAGCGTTTATGAGACTAATTACTGTAAAACAAGAAGCCTTTAAAAATGTCACCTTCTCTGACTTGCCACAAAATTGCCTGCATGGGAATCACCACAAGGATCAGACCTTCATTTCTACCTTACTATTGCTTCAGCTGAAAGTTGTCATCAGCACCATGGACAAGGACAGTTCCTGTAAACTACTTTTCTGACGTAGAAATACTATTAGATAGCAATGGCAAATTCTAGAAGTTCCCCATCCAGAATGTAAGTTCTACAAGTTTGTGCAAACATCATTTTTTGTTTGTACATCTGATAGATTGACATCAAAAGTGTTTCATTAAGTCCTTGTTCATTGTTGCTTCTCCCTTGGCTCCCTTCTGTTTTCTCTATGTGGTACACCCCTAACTTGTTAAAAATGTAGACTGCAGATTCCATGAGGAAAGAACTCTTCATTGATATTCTGCAAATTCCCATGTACAGCAATGATGTCATATAAAACATGGTCACAAACACTTTTGGCATTAGCAGAAGTGGCATCACACTTCAAAGGAAAGTCTTGTGCATGTTAGATCATTTTTTCTTGCTTTAATAGTCACAGAGTAGGAAAAAGTCATGGGTTACTGTCAAGCAGTAGCTAGTACATTTTGAGGAAAAAGGCAGGGTGTAAATGAAATAAACAAACCTGAGACAGAAGGACAGGGCCTCTGTGCATTTGTGCTCTTCAGGTGGCAATGGGCTAACCTCTCTCATTCTTCACTACTTTCTCAGAAAGAATAGTCAGTGGAGAGGAGGTAGTGGAGAAGTGGCATGTATGGAGGCAGTTGCCATTATCTGAGAGCTGGAGGATCAGCACCACCCCAAAGAGGGCTCTGAGCCCAGTGAGACTCTGGTCACCCCATGCCAGGGAGGGCCCCCCAGAACATCCCTAGAACTGAGGACTTGGCCCTGCCATCAGGGTTAGTCTCCAAGAATGAGTCATCAAAAGCCTTGTAGTTTTCTCAGCCACACAGGGATGTAAAGCTACAGAAATGAGGAAGCTTGTAGCCAGTGAAAGGTGGAGCTTCTGAGATGCTTGAAGTGACTGGCCAGCTCACGCTGCTAGCCCTTGTTGGGAAAACTGCTCTTTTCATAAGGAATTCTCCCAGCCTAGCAACTCCTGCATAACACTGTGTAAGTCTCTGCCGTGTTCACCTGGCATAGCCCTTTGCCTGCTACAAGAACCTCCCAGGGTACCCAAGGGATGAGCTGCTCCCCCTAGGGCACAATGCAAGCCATTCACATTTAGTGAGGTGGGTGGTGAGGAGAGTATGATCAGCATCGAAAGGGTGGCAAGATTCACTGTCAAGGACCCAGAGACATCCAGTTTATCAAGGCATCTCTGGCATTCTTCCAGCATAAGTCGTCGTGTCTTTCCAAGCCCCTTGGGTGATACTGTGTGAGGGTGGGATCCTTCTTATCTGCCCTAGAAGGATCCGGCGCATGCAGAAACCTCTAGGCCAGTGGTTCTCAACCTGTGATCCATGGACCCCCCGGGTGTGAAGACTTGAAGAAATGTGACGGTTTTTTGCAGTTAAATCTGAATGAATGACAGCAAGAGGAAATGGGAAATAGAACAAAATCTTAATTTTCCATGCTTGTTTTGTAAAACTTGACTTTCTGAACCTATTTCCTCAATTTAAAACAGTCAGAGATATAAATTGGCTATGAGAGTAGCTGTCTGATGGCAAAGAGCTGCGTTTGGTATTTCTGCACATGCTGAGAACAAGCGGGGAGGTGAGAACTGTAAAAATGTTTCATCAAATTTTAATGTAAAAATTGACATCATATTCAGAATTAACATGTCAAAATACCATAAAATGGGCCATTTGAGCAAAAAGAGTGTTGATATTATTATTTGAAGTTTGTATGGAATCATTGCAATATATTATAATAGAAGCGTGTGTATTAACAGATTGACTTATTTCCCCTTCTCTCCGAATCTGAAGGCCCTTCGTGAGAAAATTGAAATAAATACTTGATACCGTCTAGTGCTTTAAATCTTGAGTTAAGTCTTGGTGGTCTGCAGCCACAAAGGCATTTAAAGGGAGTCCGTGGTGAAGGAAAGTTTGAGACTCACTGCTCTCGGTAATTGCACTCTTGGGCATTGCAGAGAAGTCTAGCAATTTCCTGAAAGATCCCATCAGTTAGCAGCCTTTTCAGGGCCATCTTTTTACCCACATAGCAAAATTTGCAGATATGAAATAAGGACTCCAGAAATTCATCACCCATTTCCTGAATTTCCTAACAGTTTTATTGCAATCTGTTATTGTTCCAACCACTGGTCACCATAGCAAGTTCCATTCCTGAGTCACTTCTTGGATTGACCACATGGCACTGGTGCCTCTACAGTGAAGGCTGGTGAAAGTCTTACCTTGAGGGGCACAGGTCAATTAGAACAGCCTTCCTCAGCAGGGTGCCTTCCAGATGTTTGGGGGTGTAACATCCATCATTCCCAGCCAGCATGGCCCACTGCAGGGCTGATGGAACCTGTAGTCCAGAATATATGGAAGGTGCCACATTGGGCAAGTCTGTGCTGATGTCTCCCTGCATGTTCATTTCTTATCTCTCCTTAGCCTCAGAATAAGATTTTCACCAGCCTTCACTTTGATGAAACTGCCTCCCCAGTTTTCACCCCACTATGTGAAGATTAAAATCTTTTCATTCCCGAATAGCTTATTTCTTCTTGTACACTTAAAAAAAATGAGAGGAAATCCACAATATGAATGAGATAAGTGTGCCCTCATGAAGACATATCAGAACTGAGCAATCTGGTATATATCCGCATAAGTATATTTGTGAGTGTTCAACTTAGAGTTCAACAGTCTACCAAGTGGAATAACCTAATCAGTGGGAAAAATCTCCTTTTCATTGAGAACTCAGAAAGCACATGAGCACATTGCAAGCTTCAGAAAATAACTTCTATTAAACAGAGAAAGAAATAATAGAAGTATTAATCTTTTCTAGCCAAGTTGGCACTCTGTGCCTTCAACAGACATAACCATTTCCTTTCCTCAATAAATTCCCTTTGTATTGAGTTTGCAAATTTGCTTCATAAAATCTTGACTTGTTTTCCATAAAACAAAACAGATGGGGCAGTATTTCATTTGCAGACTTGTATAATCAGGGCTATCCTCAAAGAATAAATTATTTTAGTGATTTCACTCACTTGACATTTTGGGAAATAGGTTACTAGTTCACAAGATGTTGTTCTTCTGCATATGGAGCAACACAATGCATGCAACATGTGGATGCTGATCTATACAGTATCCCATGTCAAATTCTCATATTCTTCATAACATGTAAGTTCACTTGTCCCATGCTCTGACATCCTCTTGTTGGGTATTTTATTGCCAGTGGAAGTCAGTGCTGTGAAGAGCAGGGCAGGGAACACAAGCAGCATCATGATTTAGCCACCTAGGAACCCCGTCAAATGGATCATGTATAGTTAATCAATGTTTCCTCTAACAAGCCGTTAAAATGACTAACAAAGATAATCCATATTAAAATCAGTAAGGCCAAAATCCAGCACAACATTACTCATGGTTAATATTGTTATTTCAGTAGATTAAGTAGTTCCCACATTTTTAGCAAGCAATATTTCTTTACTATTTATCTACTTCTCCCACCAGAAAGTTTCCTTTTGTTCTCATTATTCATACACACACATGTGCATACGCCAAAACATAGGAAGAAAAAATGGTCTGGATGTCATGGGCTGAATCCAGGTTTATGCTGGATCATCTGCCCTGGTGTGAATGAACATTCCCAAGGCCTTCTTCTGGCCCTTTGAAGATGCTGCAAAGAGAGTTGGGAGACCTTACTGAATGAAGCAGGCTGTGGTGCAGAGGGGAGGAGTCCCAAAATCAGGTGATGAGACCTTCTACAAGCAGAGTCCTTCCTCTTGTGGATGGTGGCTCCCAGAGCCAGTCCCATGTCTCCCTGAATCTTCCTTCATATTTTGACCAGTGCTTGACTGTTTCATGGAAATCAGATCCATTTCTCACACCAACTTCCAGTGCATTTCATGAGTGGCATCTTAAATTTAAAGTAATCCATTCTTCCATTGCTTTCATGGGATCTGTTATGTGGAGCTTGTATAGGAGGCCAGCTTCCGCTCTTCTTTGCTCAGCCCAGCTCTCCTCCAGTGTCCCCTGCCCTATGTGAGAAGTGTGGAGGACATTCTCTGCATGTTGACACTTTTTCCACAGAAGTGGCAGAAAGGAAGCTGACAGTGGAAGAGGAGGAAGCCAAGCGTATTGCAGAAATGGGAAAGCCAATACTGGGCGAGCATCCCAAACTGGAGGTCATCATTGAAGAATCCTATGAATTCAAGGTCAGTGCCAGGTACCAACCCTCTCTGGGAGGGAGTGAGGAATGAAATTACAGGAAAGGAGGTAATCAGAGGAGGAAAAAGGGAGACCATAAAGGAACAGAGAGAGGAAAGAGCACTGTGTGAGAAGGAAAGCCAATGTAGGGTAGAGAGGCCGAGGGGTGCTTGGCGAAAAGAAGACAATGCAAATAGGGAGGAAACAATAGAGGACAAAAGAGAAGTCTGACGAAAAGTTCAGTAAGAGATGCTTAAGGGGACACATTATTTCCATGGTATTTTAAAAAAAGCCATGTAGAATCCCACCACCCTCTCCTGATGTACGACTTCTGAAAATTGAGCTAGCCAGTCCTGAGTCCAAAGTATATTGCATGAGAGCCAAATGTACCCTAACGTAATATGGCCAGGTATAACAAAAAAGAGTTGTCAACATCCATTCATCGTCTGTTCATTTGAAAGCATCCAAAGTTAGAACATCCTAAATCTAAGACGAAGGCAAGCGTCTCACTAGGAAAAAGTGCAGTGTTGTGTTTTTCAATATAAATGCTCATGACAGAAAACCTGGTAACAAATGCTGTACTTTAGAAGCTATACAACTTCTGTGCAGCCAATGTTTGCAAATGTACTGTTTTTTAAAAACATTCAGATATATTCCAATATTTCAGGACAAAAGAGAGTGTGTGCAGTTCTCTTTGTCCTTACTGCTGGTTGTGGCAGATGGGCTTAAAAGCTGAGTTCTGTGGACACAGAAGACATCAAGTCCCAGCCCAGTCCTTCTTCCTCCACATAAAAGTAGGCTGTCATTTTCCTGCTGACCCAACCATTGCTACCTCTACACCTGTTGTCCATGTTGGGGTTGGAAATGGAGGCATGGGACAGACTGCAACCAGGGCTTCCAGTTGCTAATCCCAACTTCTTCTGCTCTTCTAGCTCACATTTTCTGTCCGTACATGGGAGTGTCCCATTCTGCGGTAATACTAGCACAGAACAGGGATTATTCCCAGTGAAAGTGATAAATAAGCATTGTGTGCAACAAGTACACTTTCACCAGTACTCAAACCCATGCTTGACTCGGTCAAGCTTATTTCCTTTAGGGGTGTCCAGGTGAGGCTCATGTCTTCTGGTCACAGCTTTAATAGTGAGTCCATTGCACCTGAAGCCAAGGCTGCCAAGGCCCATGTGAAGCTCTAGCTGGGAACCTGGGTGTATTGGCCTCTTGCAGTTATGAATGGAAATGAGTGTATCCATGGGCAATGGGAGGGGAAGCTTTTGGAGTACTATCCATCAAGAGGCATTAAGTAGCTACTCTGACTTCCCGCATCATGAATTCTCTCTAGTAAAGACTACAGATGGAGGCAAAGACCCCCTCTGAAATTCTGTGAATGAAATAGGGCAATTGCAAAATTAGGCCAATTATCACAGAGGACAAGTGTTAGTGGCTCGTAGTCCTGCTGGCTGTATGTGCCCGAAGCAGTGCCAGTTTCCAGGGGACACAAGCAGGAGGGTGGGATTGTACTCATGTCCCGCTTGTGGGCTTCCCACAGGTCTCTGGCCAGCCACTGTGTGAAGCGGATGCTGGATGGCTTTGCTCTTTTCTGTCCTTATAAAGGCCTCATCTGTGATGGGAAAGAGGGCTGAAGTTGATCTGTGTGAACGATAAAGCAAGAAGCTACTGCTGTTAATTGACAAGGCAGTCTTTCTAATGAGGCAACGGCCTGACTCTGAAGTGATTTTATGCAGAGATATGCAATAAGATGTGCTTATTGATGGTTTGATTTTTCTGCATTTCAGGCAGCAGTTCTGTAGACCTTCTTGGGTGAATGGCAAACTGAAATCAATGGGATTGATTGCTGAGTTGACACATACAGAATTGCAATAATTTAACTGATTGGTTTAAGCCATCAATAAGGACTCCATTATGAAGTACGTCCAATGGAAGGCCTGTTCTAACCCATCTTTCCTGTCCTTGACAGAGTACAGTGGACAAGCTCATCAAGAAGACAAACCTGGCCTTGGTTGTAGGAACACATTCATGGCGGGACCAGTTCATGGAAGCCATTACTGTCAGTGCAGGTGAGACAGGCGAATGCCTGTAATTCACCCCAGGTAGCCCTCACTCAGGGGTTGGGGGGCCGATTACTGTGGCTAGCACAAGCCACCACTAAACTCTCCCTTTGCCCGGAAGGATTCAGCTTGGCAAGGTTTCTTAGGATTGTTTTGTCTGATACCTATATTGCATCCATCCATCGGCTACAGAATGGATGTTTATTAGGGTTGCTAAATGATTAAAAATGGTTTCAATAACCATCTGTATTTTACATAATAAATGTACCATATTCTAATAAACCTGCAGATTACCAAAACTTCAATTTAGAAGACTTTTTAAGATACTGAAGGAAAAGTGAGGCTCTTGATAATTTGACAAAGAAAAGCTGCAATCCACTGTTAGAAGGAAAGGTCATTTTTAATATTTCTTTTTTCATTTTTTCTTACACCAACTTGCCAGAATCAAAATACTTGCAAAAGTAAAGCAAATTGTCCCCTTAATTCTGAATAATCAAATAATCAGAATCGGCACTCCACAGTTCTTATTAATTGGTTCTTATTAATCAGCTAGAGAACATTATGTTAACAGGTGGCTTTTATACAGATTTAATAAACAAAGAATACTTCAAACTAATTGATCAATCTGTTAGATTAAATTAGAACACTTAACCTGCAAATTTATACACATCTAGCTGGGACCTGCTGGATTAAGTGGTGCTCACTTTTAAGGAGCTGCGGCTTGCGGTACATTGTCCATTCTTACCTATCTGAGCTAGACTTCGGCTCACTTGTGTGCATGCTGTGAAAATCTCTCCTTAGTTCTCAGCCATTAGCGGTGCTTTTCAACCATTTACCTTTGTAGTTAGGAGCTCAAATGAATGGTTTTTCCAGGATTAGACAGCTCAAGATTTTTAATGTATCCACGTATTTTGCACACAATAGGTAATATTACAGAGACAGCAACTAAATGATTGCAGGAAATTAGTGGCTGCTTCCCTTTTAAAGCTGCACAGAGCACTCCAAGATGTTTCACAATGCTTCCTAGGTCCCTTGCATTCTTCCCAGCTAATTTCCAGAAATCCTACCGACATGAAGGGCTGTGAATTGTTTCTGCTGGAGTTCTTTTGTGAGCTTGCTGGAGACCAGCCAGCAAAACCTGAGAGGTGGCGAGTGCAGGAATGGCTAAATGTGCCCTGGACACTGCTGCCTATGAGGAAGTTTCTTCCTTCTTAGCTTCAGACATATCAGCTAAAGCAGAGGGCTGTGATGTCTCCCTCCCGCTCCGGCTGGTTTGCATTTCAGCCCCTGCTGCTCCTCTCTTTCTCTCTTGCTTCGGATCAGGCTGCTGGTTCATCTGTCCAGCACTGCTTCTTCCCTCTTCCTTAAGTTATTTCCCCTTCTTTTATGATGCCACGTAGGCTTTATGGTGGTGTCCAGATTCTTGATCAGTTTCTTCTTAGTATTTGGTTTAAAAGAGGCCACTGTCTGCCAAGTCTTTTAAACTGCTCAAAAAGCCTCAGCTGGAGATGGGGAAATTACTTAAATAATTAAGGTTGCCCACACTGAGTGCTCTTCATGAGCACCAGCTGCCAATGGCTGCTACTGAGTGACTCTCTGAGGGAAACCAGTACAAGGAGATGTAATCTATGAATTTTGTGGCTTTATTGTTTAACTTGGTTTTTGGAAAGGCCAGAGAGCAAGCCTTTGGGAAAGTGTAAAAAAGTGTTGTGGGCACTGTCACAAAGTGAATGATGCAGTGAATGTGGCCAGTCCCGAAAACCCATTTCACAGGATCCGACAGTGCTAATTTGCCAAAGAATCTCAGCACACGGCAGACATGAGGGGTGATCGCCGAAATGCAGCACCTTCCCTTTGAACGCAAGGTTCTCACTCGCCTTCAGAATCATCTCCCCACAACACCCTTTCGGTCTGTCTCTCTCGTCCCACGCTCCCAGCCCCATAAGGCCCACTCATCCAAGCCGCATGTTCCTTGGAGTGTCCCTGCTGCCAAGACACACGAGCTCTTTTCCCCCTCTCTCAGGGGTCTTACCCCAAACTCTCTTCTGTCCAGATCCCTGCTACACAAAATGCTCTCTCTCACTGACTGGGTTCAGATGACATAACAACACACACGCAAGGACTGAGCACGTGTCGAGTGTGGGTTGTTACTGAAATGGTGGTTTTTCTGTTGTCTGAACCCAGCAACAACAATCTACATCCGACCCTTACTCATCCCCTGAGTGTGGGTTGTCAAGTTCTCCTCCCTCTCCCCCTCCCTCCCTCTCTCTCCTAAGATTCAGCAAGCATGTGCTATGGGGAAAGAATGTCTTTTAATCCCCTCTCCTTTCCCATGCTTGCTTACTCCCTTCTTCAGAGCAAAGGTGAATAAGGATGCCTGACTGGCCTTCAATATTTTCATGATGTTGTCTCTGTTGCTATGGTAATAAATGTGGTCATATCCTCTGGGTGCCCACACAAGAACAAAGCTAAGGACATTAAGAGATGCTTCCCCTGTTGTTGACCTACTTTCAAACGTCCTGGTACCATCCCAGGGTATGGGGAAGCCCCAGTGCTGTCCTCAGCCCCCTTCCCCCCACGAACCCTCCAGAATCTCCAGGGGCTAAGCAGAGGAAAGGACAGCGAAGCCAGCCGGGCTGTTCCTTGCTTCAGCACTAAAGGAGACTTTGCATGGAAAAATACTTTTTCCGTGTTCAGCTTGGAAGAGAGTAGATTTGCTGGCAGCCCCTAAGTAAGCTGTCCACATCTTCTGTGGTTCTGCAGGCCATCTATATCCAGATGTTCTGTTGTCAGGAATCATTGCCTGGGGAGACACAACGAGATCAGGTCCTCGTGTACCTTTTGGGAGGGAAAGGGTCAAGAAGGGCAAGGCAGATCCGGAGGGCCACATACAAGGAAGAGAGGCCAGCCTCTGGGAGGTCATGTCCACAGGAAAAGTGGGAAGCTGGAACTGATCCAGCTGGCAAAGCCGCTGTCAGGACTCCCAGAGATGAGCAAGCTGGAAAGCAGGGGTCTGGGGAGAAGGGACTGGAGGCAGAGGGCTTGGTGGAGGGCAATGTTGGGAGTCCAAAATGCTTTGGAGTCAAAATCCAAGCTAGTGCCAGACCAGCCTTCCCTACCTGGTATCCTGCAGAGGCATACCAGGGGCTGGGAGTCCTGCAACATCCATTAGATTTGGGCTTCCCCGTTTTCTGTTCCCTGCAGCGGGTGATGAAGACGAGGATGAGTCTGGCGAGGAGCGCCTGCCTTCCTGCTTCGACTATGTCATGCACTTCCTAACCGTCTTCTGGAAGGTGCTCTTCGCCTGCGTGCCCCCCACAGAGTACTGCCACGGCTGGGCTTGCTTCGTCGTGTCCATCCTGATCATTGGCATGCTCACCGCCATCATCGGAGACTTGGCTTCTCACTTTGGCTGCACAATCGGCCTCAAGGATTCTGTGACTGCGGTTATCTTTGTGGCCTTTGGCACTTCAGTTCCAGGTGAGGAGACTCATGGAGAAGGTCTGCTCCATTCATTTATTTATTCGATTTATATGCCACTGTAATCTTTTTAAGAACTCAAAGCAGCTTACATCATTCTCCTCCTGCTCTCAGTCTCATCCCCACAACAGCAACCCTGTGAGGTAGGCTGGTCTGAGAGGCTGTGACTGGCCCACAGTCACCAGTTGGCTCCATGGCTGAGTGGGGACTAGAACTCAGGTCTCTTTAGTCCCAGTTCCCCGCTCTTAACCACTACACTACACTACCCCATACAGCATCCCCCTTCACAATCCCGTTTTGGAAGCAGGAGCTGCAAATGCTGAAGTCTCATCATGGCCCTGCATTGAGCTTCCTATAGCAGGGGTAGTTCTCCAGATTTTTTTGGAGAACTACCCTTGTTCCATGCAAGCAGGGCCTTCAGGGGCTGACGCCCTAACTTCTGCTCTCCTCTTCCATACAAGCACCTTTCCAGGGATGACCCCAAGAGGAGCAGCAATCCCAGGGCCACGTCAGCAGCATTCTTCCTAGTTAATTCAGATATTTCTAGGCCGCTTTTCAGGGCAGGTGCAGAGTGCAGGAAGGGCTAAGGGTGCCTCAGACTCTTCTGCCCCTTTCCCATCCCTGTTTTAGGGAAGGGTTTCCATGAAAGGAACTTTGTTGTGGTTCCTTTGTAGAAGTTATAAAACTGAAAGCCCACATTGTGTCTGCCAGTACCTGAGAAAGCCTTTCTCCAATCAATCAGTCACATTAACAAACAAAGCCTATCAAAGTTGTCTAAACAACATACAAAAGACAGACAGCTATAATTCAGTAAAACCACCACGATCCATTCTAATCACAGAGCCAAAGCATTCGGAGGAAAGTTGGGAGGCAGGGCACATCTGCTCAGTCGTTCCAGCCGGCATGGCTGCCACTTTCCCCATCACCACCTGTGCAGCCAGACTGGCTCCAGCAGCCATGGCCGAGGCCCCAGCAATTTGGCAGGAAGGCAAGCTGTGCAGTGGGGGCACGTGCCTGCAGCCCACCTGGTCCCCACCGCCTCTCTAGCCCTCTGCTGTGGCCCACCCTACACCCAGCTTCACCACCTTCATGAGAACTGAGTTCCCGGTCTTTTCAGCCCACAAAGGTATTTCCATCTTAAATTGGGCGGTCGTGTATTTTGCCCCAAGCAGGGGCAGGACACCTGGGGACCTTCAGGTGCTCATGGGCTGCATCTCTTGTCCGCCCTAGCCAGCATAGCCAGTGGGAAGGGTCAGTGGGTGCCGTGGTCCACCAATGCCAGGGGATGACCCCTTTCCCATCCGCATCCACGCCACTGTCTCTCTGGCTCTCTCTCTCCCTTTCAGACACTTTCGCTAGCAAAGCTGCTGCCGTCCAAGATGTGTACGCAGACGCTTCCATCGGCAATGTCACGGGCAGCAATGCCGTCAACGTCTTCCTGGGCATCGGACTGGCCTGGTCAGTGGCAGCCATTTACTGGGCTTCCCAGGGAGGGGAATTCCATGTGTCAGCCGGCACGCTCGCCTTCTCCGTGACACTGTTCACCATCTTCGCGTTCATCTGCATCAGCGTCCTGCTGTACCGGAGACGGCCTCACCTGGGAGGGGAGCTGGGCGGCCCCAAGGGGTGCAGACTTGCCACAATGGTGCTTTTCGTGAGCTTGTGGCTGCTGTACATTTTGTTTGCCACGCTAGAGGCCTACTGCTACATCAAGGGCTTCTAAGCCCGATCAAGCCAGAAGGGAGGGCCCCCTCCTTCGTTACCTCATCGGACAGCAATCTTCAGTGTGTTGTCGAACCAGGAGTGACAGCTATCAATCAAGATTCCATAACTGCCCAGGCTGAAGGACAACTGGGCTTTAAGAAGGGCAAAACTACCATCACAAAGTCAAGGCAACAATTAAAACAAAGCCAACGACATCAACTCAGTCACTGATCCCCATCCGGTCAAATCAGAAGCATCAGCAGCGGTTAAGTACCCATTTGTTAAATGGTGCTGCTGATCTCCACATTGTTCCTTCTACCACTTTACAAAATGGAGAAAGTATAAATAAGTTGGGTGGCCACTTGCTTTTTTTAATTTGGGGATGGTGGTTAATCTTACTTGATCTATTTTTCCTTTTTTTAGCACTCAGAAAGGAGGCTGAAAAATGATCAATACATCCAAACCTCATGTCAGTGTCAGCTCGGGAGTTGAAAATGCTCTGCATTTTTTTACATTGGGTAAACAGTGTCTATCAAAAGACTCACTCTTTTCACGATATTTTAGAGTTACAGTGCTAGACTGTTGTATTTGAAATGCAAACACCACACACACACACACACACACACATTCAGGAAAATACCATTGAAGGTATGAAGTGGTCTGTTCACTTGCCTGGGCTACCAAAAAAGAAAGACCTCTAAGAATATTGTATGTAACTTGTATATTTTGAATATGGCAATTTTCTTTGTGTAATTAACTTAAAAGCTTTTGGCACTGCAGACAACAATATATATATATTAAATAGATAGATAGTCATTTATAAATGGCAAATAAACCAACACAAGGGGGAAAGCCTGCAGTGTGGAAAATTGGAGCAAAGGAAAAACCAGCACAAGTTTCTTTTCTTTCTTTTTTAAAATTACAGTAGAGTCCTTGTTTCATTGATGGAGAAGATGATGATTCTTTTTTACATGGAGATGAGGTTATAATTTGTTCCTCTCCCATTTTTCAGTGCATATGACAAAATTTGAGGGTGTTTGAGGTGCCATGTAAAGTATTGCAGGCTTCATCTGCACAGGTTGACGTCAAAGCCTTCAAGGAGGAAGAAAGGAATCCTGGGGATCCCTCTTGACTAGCTTTGTGCCACATACTGGCATCTCCTTGACACCCCACCTGTAAAAGGAAACTCTCAAGAGACGCATTTGGCGCCAACACTATACTTTGGTGTAATGCTTGCTACTCCAACAAGCTTCAGGCATGTACTTACCCCTCCTGGTCCTTCCTCAGATCTGGCCATGAGAAAGAGACTAGAAGTATCCATTTCTGTTTTCTACCGGCCACAGTTTATTGTTATATATGCACTGGCTGAAACTGGTTAGTTTTAACTATGGTTTGTCCAAACCAGCCAACTTCAAGCCATGGTTTATTACGCTTTGTTGTTCTAATAAATCACTGTTAAGACGAGACACAGTTCCCCTTTAAGGCAAAACAGCAATCCACAACAGGAACTGCTGTTTCCAACTTCCTTGTGACTACACGGGGGCGGGGGGGTTAGGGTTGGGGACCAGGCTCGTGCCCACAGCACAGCTTAGTGCTGTATTGCGATGAGAGCGATATGATCCACAGGCCTAGAGCTCTAGCCGTTGGAAGGAGCTCTGCTTTGGAGATGATTGCCCATCACTGGCAGTTAAACTCACATTAAAGCATCTCAGAAACAATTTGCTAATTCTACCTTTGGCAATTTCTGACCGGATGACTTCCTCACCTCACTGAGGGCAGAGCATGACTCTATGGATAATGCTACACATCTAGCTGCTAAAGAGAATACCAATGCCAGTTCTCTTTACTGGTAAGAAGAATACCAATGCCTTTGAGGGTCTGGGGGCATCTTCCTACCCACCTACCTTTCTGCCTAAGGAAAGTGCTGAAAATATTTTTCCAGTTCACCTAATGAGATCACCTTATGATTACCTGGTGTGCAGCAACCCTTGTCTTTCAAAGGACCGGTGCTTCCTGATCTCTGTTAGAGCCAGGGTTATGGTTTTAACTGTCACCATTTATCATGGGAAGAACATTCTAGAAAAGCACCCTTTTGATTTCCAGTTGTAATTAAAAATTATCTGTGCATGTGTACACAAACACACAGACATATGAGTTATAGCAGCAGCTTCAAAGTGAAATGTTGGGTTACTAACAAAAGTTATACTTATAGCTAAATGCACACACACACACATTTCTTCAGTGCAAGAAATAAAGGGTATGCTTTATTTTTAAAGAATAAGACATTTCTTCTGTCAAAAAGTTAGGTGCTCTAAAGGAATGTCTTCTTCATAAACGCCAAGCTTATAAAGTGGCGCAGATAATCCACTGACTAGTGAGCAAGGAAAATTAGAAGCATCTATACTGTGCATTGTTAAATAAGAATGGTGATAAATAATGTTTTAGAAACAGGATGGGTGCCATGGAGTGTGTGTATGTGTGCATACAATCATGCACCTGTGCATAAAAGAAGAGAAAGCAGCTTGATAGCCAAAAAGAATTCATTACTGAACATGGAAATGAAGATACAATTTTAGGGAATTATGACAATGAATGAATGAAAAATGAAGTATTTATTTTCATATAAAACCGCAGAGAAGTTTCATACATGCCACACCCCATTTATATTTCTTTATCATGTGTTAAGAAATGGGAATGCTTCATTCTTGTGCCATTTGAGCTTTTGGAGAATAGGGTCATACTCTGGAAAGTAGTAATGGGAGAATACGTGAAGGTTTTATTCCAGCAAGCAATTAGGTTTCCAAAGCTGTACAAAAAGTGGATCATCCCAATGGTGATGTGATTGAGACGAAGGGCATGGCCTGTTGGAAAGGGCTTCAGTGCACGCCCACTGGGATTCCTGGAAGCTGCGGCTGCGCTCGCTCGTGATGGCTTGTGCGTGGCAGACTGTGCCCAAAGTCAAAAAGGTGGTTCCTTTTTATGGAACCACGTCATGAGCTGCACAACCCTCCATATCTAGTCGAGTTTTCAGGATTTTAGCAACTGTCATGCTCTGCCTGTCTGTTCTGTGCTTTTTCCCACACATGTGACTGTTACCTGCCCTTGCTGTTCTGGGAAGGGTTTGGGAGCTAGAGATCTAATTAAGTAAATATCTTGGTTCCTTTTGCACAAACCTTGATTTTAGAAATGGAAGCTGGTTGTGCAGTTATCAGCTCTTCTAGATTTGGAAAATAATGGATTAAGGAAAAAAAGATAATGGGGGGGAGGGGGCTACTACAGCCATTCATAATCCATGTTATTGAACACATTGTTTCCTTCATTCCCTCCAATGACCTCACGCTCTGGTAACAATTAGCTTTTTGCCAGAATTATGTTCTCTGACTTGCTAGCCCTTCCACCACTTGTCTACTCGTATGACTGGGTTTATTTATCTGTCCTGCCCTTCCCCAGAGAAGCTTTGGGCAGGGCAAGCGAGGCCTCCTTTGATCCTCCCAACCGCTTGGTAAGGTGGAATGAGGCTGAGCAACACGACTTCTGAGCTTCTCATTAGCGCCAGCAGACAAGCTCGACCAGGATGCACCGTTCACACGTTTGGTTCAAAGAACAGCTTCACCTCACCGGCCTTGTCCCACACGTTTCTTGCAACCGGCTGTCCCCTTGTGAGATCCGTGTGGGTCATCATTTCTTTATTTACTTAAAAAAATGCATTGACACTCACCGTCATCCGGTGAGCTCTTATTTAAACCAGCGCAATTCCCCCGTTCCTACTTAACTAACCTAACTTGGGTACCATGAATACTGTCAATCATCATGTTTGCTTGTGCTGTATCACACACATTATTTCTGCCAGCTTGCTTCTTAAGCGCACTTGCTGGGGAGGATGGGTGGCGTGCCATGGCCTGTGTCATAGTTACTTTGCTACCCTCAACATGCACTGAGAAGAACTGTTCTGGGCCAACTATATCAGTGGAGTGTCTTTCTTCATCTTATTTTTTAAGTCATTAAATACAAGAGAAGTCAATTGAAAAAAAAAACCTGTGTAGCCCTTTTTTAATGGGAGATTTTCTGATTCTTTCTTAGAAATATGCATGGAATCATTTTTAGCACAATTTTGACATTATTTTAGTTGTGGGATTTTAAAAGGTGATCTCCCATCTATTTCCCAGAGAGGGAACTTGAGGCAATGAACAGAGAAAAATCAGCAATATTTAATTTGTATTTAAGAACACAAATTAATAAGAACCATTATAAGTTAACCAGAAGGGCTAGAACTTACCCATAGGTTTAAAGAAAAGAAAGAAAAACTTTCATTACTTCACAAACAGCCATGTCCTTACATACTGCTTAAAACAGTACCGTCCAGATATGTTGGACTACAACTCCCATCATTCCCATTCAGCATGCCTGGAGGGATGTACCCTGGAGCTGGCTGCAGTAGGTTATCCAGTGCTGATGAATCCCTGTGGGCAAAGCATCCCACAGGGCAAGTGCAAGCACAGAGCAGGCTCTAGACTAGCCAGCCCCACCTTGGTGACCTCCAGAGCTGCTGGCCCACAACCCCCTGCAAGCCTAGCCACCAGGGCCATTGCGTCAGCCTACCTGGCCATCGTAGTCTGATGTGTCCAGTTGCTTCCAGGTTCAGGAAGGCTGCATTAGATGCTGCGGCTCCCAGATATAGGCGAACTGGAGTGGAGCCCTGGAGCATATGGGGAGAGGCATCTGAGCAAAACGGCATATGGAAGAAGGTGGGTCTTGCCATCCATGATGTTTGGCTGGAAGAGGTTGCTTACTGGTGCTGCCTCTAGCCAAAGCGGCAGCTCCCTCTTCTGGTTGGACCCCTGATATTTCTGCCTTGTCCTTCATTCTCGTTTATCAATACAAGGGAGGAACTTTGCTGTGAGCCTGGTTCTGGTTCTGACGCAGTCAGGTCTGTGGCATGATTCTAACGGGATGCACCAAGGTCCCAAAAAGCTAAAGCTAAAGTAAACAGCACTCCAGAATAAAGGGAATCCTTTTAACAAAGGTATGAGTGGTTCAACAGAGAACCTGACAGCAAGCTTTGGAAGATATGAAGGGGAAAATTACTCCCTTAACTCCCCATTTGACCCTTAAAAACTGTATCATGCATGGAGTCACAAGAAAGACCACAGACAGAAAGAGTAACCAACTTACCCAAGCTAGAAAGAAAAATATCCTGCAACTCCCAGCATTCCCTAGCTAGTTGTAAGACTTATTCTGTCTAAACATAGGATGGTACCCTCCACCTCTCACTTTTTAACTTTCAGAAGTACTGTGAATGGTCGAACCAACCAGCCTTTCTCCCGTGTATCACTGTTTTGTTTTCTGCAATATAAAATGGTTAAAACTCCAAGGCTGAGATCGTCAGTATTTATCCTGCCGGCAGAGGAGCCTTGAAGAAGGGTTTCCAATCCTCGATTCTGGCCTTCTGCAACCACCTTCCCCCAGCCTTGCATTCCAGAGGGTTCCCCAACCCTCCAGAGCAGATTTTTAGGGGTTGCCTAGTG